TTCTCTCTCTCTCTCTCCCCCCTCCCCCTCCCCTTCTCCTTCTCCTTCTTTTGGGGGAGCAGGGGCTCCAGGTGCTTCAAGTCATGGAGGGGCTCAAAATACCCATTTCATATTTCACATTTTCCCCCAAACTGGGTTGTAGTCATTTCCACTTTTGGAATGTGGCCCTTGATGTGCTGTGCAAAACTTGGTGTGACCACCAATTAATGAAAATTAAGGACTCTTGCATAATCAGTAGAAGTTTCACCACCATAGCTTCATCAAACTGATCTGTCTTAGTTGTGTAACACTTGTCGAGGCAAGGATGTGGAAGCCTATCTTTTTAATGATAAAAATCTAGTTCAACTACATTAGTGGCTCTTGAAATTTGGGACCTAAATAATTTAAAGCTTAATTAAAATAAAAAAAACCCTGAATTCTAGGAATCAGAATCCTCTGATCACTGACATCTTCTGTGCTTCCACAAAGCAGCAGTGTACATCCAACACTGTTCGTGGCCCCTTTTGGATTTAGGCAATGTCATGCATGCACAAGGAAAACAAAGATGCACAGATTAACCTCCTGTCCGTGTTTTCCAGTGGGGGAGATGATGGTACTCCACTCATTAAAAGTCACATTCTTTTACCCCCAGCTCTTGCCCTGATTTGTGAGAGTGTGAAACTAATCAGAATATTTCCCCCCCTTTCAGTGGTGATGGGTTGCTTTTGGTTAATAAATAGCTTTATACATTCTGCAGTGCCAGAAATGAACAGCCCACGTCACTGCAAGCATGCTCATTTTCTTTCAGTGTAATGGATTGGCAAATCTTTAGCTTGATTGATCAGTCTGCTTACAGGCCTAACAATACACTGATAGAGCTTTTGGTTGTTCGGGGCCTCTTCTCAGTAATCTTGATTGGTCCCACGTAGTCATGGAAAGCAGCAATTTAAAGGGAATTGTTGTCCTCACTCTTGCATGCATAAACAAAATGTACCCATTTAAGACATAAATGTAAGAGAAGTTGGGATCATGTTGGAGCAGCTGAGCAAAACAGGACAATCTAGTTTCCCAAATCCCTCTTAGTTGATATGTATTTGCCTATGAAGAATTAATCGTTCTTCCCCATCCTCCCCCCCCCCAAAAAGATATATTTTCCCTTATGTAGAATCTAGCTTAAATCAGAACTAATAGAGCAAAGCCGGTGCTCAATTTTTTTATAATTCTCTCCCTCCTGGCAGCCTCCCTACGCGCAATCATTCGCTATTCCGAAATTTTCCCTGATCCTTTGGGGAAACTTTTTGAGCAGGGTGCCAGGACAGGAGCAAGAGACGCAAGGGCCCCTGGTGTGCATTTCCTTCCATTCACCCTGCCATGCCCCACCTCAGTCTTAACGTGATACCTAGCAGCCGATTAAAGGCAAAAAAATCCTCTGCGTTGTTATAACACCAACCCTCTACAGTAGGGATGACCCTCCAATCTCTATATTGCAGAAACGTGAGATACTTGCTTACCTGGACTCTCCTAATTTTGCATAGGGTATGACAGGCTCTTGAATTCTGGAGTAGTTTTTTTCTTCTTCTTTGCTTTATCTTTGATCAATATCTGTGTTTTTCAAACTAAGGCATAGAGTGGTACAGTCCAGCAAGGACCCTGCTCTCTGAACACAGGAGCAGGGTCAGGGTTTAAGAGTCTTTGGGTGGATATTATGAATAGGAGCAGTTGCTCTACTCTATGCCAGGGGACTCTAGCAGCTGGCATAGTTTAGCTGGAAGCATCCCCCGCTGCCTGTTAATAGTGAGCATAACAGCTGGCGACTGGGGATCCCCCCGAAGGCGGCTGTTGAATTAGGCAGCTGCTTAAGCAGAATCTGCTGGAACGCCATCACACAAGAGGGGCTGCTTCAACTTGGGCTGCCTAGGCTTGCCATCAAGCCTCTCCCCCTCCAAAGGGTATGATAATCAGCACCTCCTGCCAGCTGCAAACGCTTCCTTAATGGAAAAACTGCCCCAGTAATTCTCCACTGGCTTGGCTGCCATTGTACTCAGCTGCTACCTTTCCTGTGCCAGGCAGTTCTTTTCTGCCCACGGTGAGGAGCACCAGCTGTGTCCACAGAGGGGAGGGGAGTTTGAGTTTAACCAACCCCAGCTTCACCCTGACTTCTCTTGTTCGGCTTTCCAGGACCAGACAGGGAGGGAGGGACCCTTGGGGTTGGGGGATATGCAATTCATAGAGCCACAGCGGCTATTCTGTAGTTACCATTCCTTTTTTCAGGAAGAACTAGATGTCATTGTTCTGTGTAGGAAGACTCAGGGGTTCATAACCAGTTGAAGCCTAGTGTTTGGGAAGACTTAAAGCAGGGTTTCTCAACCTCAGCAACTTGCTGGCTGGGGAATTCTGGGAGTTGAAGTCCACACATCTTAAAGTTGCTGAGGTTGAGAAACTTTGACTTAGAGTCTCCTTTAAGATATGCAGTTTTAAAATGGGAGAGGCCTCATGTATCAGTTAGGCACCCCTTTCCATTGGCACATGGAAGTATTGTGTTTCCCACCCAACAGCGGCCACAGAGAAAGCCAAGTGGAATTATTTCACCTCGACTCCAGCCTATCAACACCACCAAAAAGACTGGGACTAGCTGAAGACTGAAGGCAGGGGGGAGCTGTATTTTTGGCATAAGGTCTGTAGTCAGTCTGGTTTAGATGCTGAGAGCTGCATGAAAAATAGATGTCGCTATGTGGGAACCTAAGAGGAGAGGGAGGGACTAGAACTATGAATATTTCATCCATTAATTGCCTGTATGCCCCATATTTTTATTCAAATCCCTGTATGTGGATCATGTGTCCCATAAAAAATGTGAGGAGCTTTGGTAACAAAGACTTCATTGTTCCCCCTCCTTCCTCAGCCATCCTCCTTCAATATCTGGTTGCAGGTAAGACTGCACTGAATGTACTGCAGCTTCCTAAAAAAGAAGCAATAAAGGCTAAAAATATACACAGTGAACAAACCAACCACATAATAAACCAGTAAACACTTCAGTCCAGTAGCACATTTTGGGCATAAAATCAATGCTGTCTCAGCAACAGTGTGTTAAAAAAAAGATCAAATCAAAATATCTGCTTGGATGTTGAAATATAAAAGAGGTCACCCTGGAAAAAGAAGTGAGGCCATTATCAAAAAGGATTTCTGTTGTGCCAGTTATGGCCTGGGGGTTGGGTGGGTGGATATATTCCAAGAAGGGCCATTGATGCTGTTAATGAAGTGCTCTGCGTTTGTTTGTTTGTCTGTTTGTTTTAAAAGCACAGTATATCCAATATACCAAACATACCCAATAGTAAACCAACATGATTCAAAAGAGCTAGAAACAACCAGACTCTAAAACAACAGATAAGAAGCAGTGGTCACAGATTTAACAGTCCAGATGCTTACAATATGAAGCTGAAAATGTTTAAATTGGGAAAAAAGCGCAAAGCACACATACTGATTTCCCAGGCCGGAGTCAAAGGAGATGTTATTCCCTGGTTCTCGAAGGACATTGGAGAGGATTCTAGTGTCAGCCTTCCAAGGTAGATCAAACAGGAAACATGACCAGATGAGCTACTTCTACTTTATTGTAAAGCTACATCAACAGAATCTTGCAATTCTGAAAGTACAATTCTCCCACCTTCTCCTTTACAGCCTGATAAACTAGGGAGGATCCCTTCTGAGCCTCTTGCCCCATCCATTATGCAGCTGCAAGCTATGTTATCTCTTATCTGAGATTCCCTTGGCAGCATCTCTGGACCCAATCTCCCAGGGTCCTTCCAACATACCATTACATCTAGCCACATGCAGACCAGGCAAATATTTCCACAACTGGGATGTGTTACAAACTGGGTGAAGAGATTCTTAGCAGTGCCTTTCTTCTAAGAATTCTCCAATAAAAGATCATTACAAAAGCATAACATCCTTTCTAATTTTTGAAGAAACCATGGCGTACTGTGTTCATCATTGCACGACACCCTCTAGCTTGCCTAACTAGGGAGTTCTTAGCCATTCTCCCCAGGACTTTTTCCTTCAGTTCAACCAGAGGTGTTATCTAAATGGGCAGCAACTGATTTGTCTCCTGGCTCATCACCCCCAAAGTGGCTGAGCTGAGTGAAAGGAAGAGGGGCTCCAACCATGGTGTTCCCTGAAGGGATATGAGGGTGACAGTATGGCTGGGCTGCCTGGAGACAGGAGGCAGCTGCAACCTAAGGAGAAGTGCTGAAAAGTAAATGTATTGTGATGTGTAGTGGGCTGTGAGAATAACCTTGAGAGACAGGAGCAAGAGTCACAGCCTAGACAATGGTCTGATAAGAGAAATCTGAGTCCAAAGGAGGGATGGAGGTGGAGAAAGTGTCTCAGAAGGGACTCTCCTTAGTTCTTAAGTAAGTAAAGGCAAGGAGGGGGGAAATGCTTTCAGACTTGCAGAATTCTGTTACTGTAAAGGTAATATTAGTACTCATGGTTTTGGTTTCCTTTCTGACTACCTCAAAGAGCTGACATCGCGTTACCCAAGGATTAAATGTCATCTTTGTGAAAAGGATTGTTTTGTTCAACCTGGTTTGCTCAAAATGGTTCGGTTAATTCTGTCAATGCTGTTTGTGGTCCTCGGTGGTGATGATGGCTCTACCAAGGTTTTTCTCCTCCATTGTCAGTCAAATGATTGGAAAAGAAAGCATAATGGGTGGGGCATATAGGTGCCCAAATGTCTTTGATTGTACTTCCCATCATCTCCAACTGGTATTGGTTCAACATGTCCAGTTGGAGATAACCCAGTTGTCACAGTACCTTACCCTTGGCTGTGCTGCTGAGTCTTTTGAGAACTGCAGCCCAAAAACATATGGAGGGCATCCTTAGTGATGCTTATCTCTAGTGTACCATCTGCAATAAAAAACTGTCCTTGTAGCTGCCGCCAAATAACAATCTGTCTCTTCTGCCTGCAGTTTTTGGATATTTAGAAAAAGCTCATTACAAGCAGTTAATTGATCTCTTTTGGTCTACAGATCCGAAGGCGTCGCCCAACTCCTGCCACCTTGGTCTTGAGCAGTGACCAGTCATCACCTGGTGAGAGCAGATGCATGACTTGATTGAATGCAAAATTGGGTCTCCCTCTGGTTCCCAGGAATAGTTTGCTGCTGTTCAGTAGGTCAGTCCTGGAGAGAATTTGAATAGTGGTATGTGAGACATCTGTAGACCTCCAGGTATTACTGAACTATCCTCCCAGCAGCCCCAGCCAATATTGCTCAATATCTACATGTAGTAATATCTAGATGGCCACAACCAACATCTAGTAATATCTAGATGGCCGCTTCCCCATGCCTGTCCTAAAAAGTAGCTGATTATTGTACTATGTACATCTTATTTGACCCCTGAAGAAGAGGATATATCCCATTACCTGTGCCATCCTCTCTGATTGGCACAAGAGACCATTTCTATATTACTGAAACTCTCAGACTAGAGTTAAGGAATAAGAGACCAGTCAACTATCTCTACCCCAAAACACAACTTTTTGCTAAAGCCTTTGCTGTCAATTGGTTCTCTCTATTGCTTTCTGCCATGCAAAATAGATTATAGTGTACGATTGATGCTAAATAATGGCTGGGCAGTCCTACCTTAATTCATGCCTGCACAATTGAGGCTGGGGGCTTTGGGCAGACTCCCATTCCCTTCCTGCACTGTTCTTGATTTTCAGTGAATACATTAAATTTACCAGATTTAAGTTTGGATAAGAGTGAGAGATGGGGATAGGAAGAAGGGACTGAAATGATGAATAAAACACATATGGGGTGTAAGAAAATATGAGTCTTACCCTGGACAAGCATTTGGTGCTTGACTACCCAAAGGCAACCTTCAGTATACACAACAAGATTCATATATTGTCCTCAGTCCAAAGCCAAGAGTGAAAAAGTTGTGGCACCCTAGAAGTGGGTGAGACTCTGATATCCATATACTATGATCAGTGTTTAGAAATTGCGGGAATTGTAATCCAATCTGTATAATATTGGAACTATTTTCTCCATTATATCAAATTATTCACATTATCCAAGAGGCTGAGTCCTGAAATTTGTCTGTTTAGTAGGTGCTTTTCCAGGTCTTAAAATAGCATAGACTTTCCTCCCTAATTTGGCTAATGTGGGCCAGTTCAAGGGAAACAGGAATGTAGTGATGTCAGTGTTGGGGCTTCTCCGGGCTGTTTTACCCAGATAGTATGTGGTTGCAGGCCACATTTTTAAATATAAATCTCCCGCAATATTACGGAGTACTTGAGAACATCATTCCAAGGTATTGTGGAAAATTTTATATGCCAGCTATGGAGGGAAGATTTGTGCCCTATAGTATACAGAGAAGTGGATCTCAAGGAAAGCATACTATGGAGGTAGAAGTGCAGAAGAAGATCTAGAGACAGGGCAAGCCCCACATATTTGTAACCTTGGTATTCGCCCTGAATGGCACCACTCAAGTTAACATTCAGAGTCTGTTAGAAGATGGACATTGAGCCAAGTATTTAGGACAAATTGTTTTTAGAAATGTACCCCAATTTGGCAACTGATCTATTTTGTTCAGCATTCCCCATCCATGCTATTTTGGTTTAAGGTACAAGATGGTTTGAAGTTCACATATCCTGTTTTTGGTGGGACCTAGAAGGAAATAAAGGCCAGGACGCTGATGTTGATAAATGGCTCCAAAGAGTTTGTTGTGAAGCCAGCTTGCATTTATAATATTCCAGACTGTCAGGCCTTCATGCCAGACACAGGATGCACATTTACTCATCTGAGATTACTACATCTTCACAAGTGAGAAATGCATGCTCTAGGAGAGGTACAGAGACACATTTCACCCAGCCCTTCCATCTCAGCTGAGACTCTTGATCATTTTAGAACAAAGGCAGAAGCTGAGTTATGGGGCTAGGAAAGAAGAAAACTAACCATTCTCCTGAGCCTCTAATTTAGGGTTACCAGATATCCGAACAGCTAAAGGAGGACATGGACAATTGGAAAGGAGGACAAATGGGGGGGGGGCACACTAGCTGTTTAACTTTCTTGGTGTCTGCAACAAAGAACATAGTTTCCCAGCAGGAAGACACAATGCCTGAGAACAGTCCAACCAATCTGCGACATCCTGGGAAGGCAGCTGGAGGGCGAGGAAGGCACAGTGCACCTCACTCCATGGACCCACTGTGGGGGAATTGTAAGGGTGGCCTTCTCGGCTGGCACCACCTCACAGGCTCCTGTAGAGACTTGGCTCCGGCCCACCAACCACCTCCAGCAAAGCTGCAAGTTTAAGGTGCTGCTTCAGCCCCGCTGGACAGCTGATCCTCTTCTCTGGGGAGAGCCTAAGCTCTAATGCCAGGGCCCCGAGGAGGCAGCACAAGCCCTTTCTGAGCCCAGGATCCGTGAGGGGCATTGGGAGCATCAGCCCTCCAGGCTGGGTGAGCCTTAGTGAACGGCTTGTGGAGAGGCTTTTGGAGACCACGGCCTGAGCCCGTACCTGTGTCAGTTTACAAGGTCACAGTGCACAAATACACAGACAATTTGCACAGTCACAATGCACAAAATTTGAATGATTATTGTTGTGAAACTAGTCCAAACTAAAAAAAAAAAAAACCACTCAAAAAGCCAGACAATATTTGATATTAAGGCTATGCCTGCTGGATGGAGGACATGAGGACAAAAACAAGGACTTGTTCTCCTTTTTCTGGACATCTGGTATTTGATTAAAGGTGATAAATGCTTCTTTGTGCAAGGAGTCAGTTTTGCCTGCCTGGAAGAAGGCAGTGGTCCATCCCCTCCTCAAGAGGTCATCACTGGACCAGGCAGCACTGGACAACTTTTGTCCAATCTCCAACCTTCCCTTCTTGGTGAAGGTCACTGAGAAAGTAGGAGGCCTACAGCTTCAAAGGGCTCTGCAGGAAGCAGATTATCTGGGCCTGTTACAGTCAGGTTTCAGGCCCAGACATAGCACCAAGATGGCATTGATCACACTTGTGGATGACCTCTGGTAGGCCTAGGATGGAGATGGTGTATCCATTCTGGTCCTACTTGATCTCTCAGTGGTTTTCAGTACCATCAATCATGGTATCCTTCTGAGCTGGCTGAGAGGTTTGGAGGTGGAAGGCACTGTTCTTTAGTGGTTCTCTTCCTTCTTCCAAGGCTGGTTCCAGTCAGCATTGGTAGGGGGGAGAGATCCAGGCCAAGGTCTCTGCTTTGTGGGATGCCACAGGCCCTGATTCTTTCCCTGCTCCTATTTAACATCTACATGAAACCGTTGGATGAGATCATCCTTCAGCTTGTGTTAAGTACTATCTGATGACATTCAGCTGTGAATCTCTGCCCCAGATCATTTAAGTGATGCTGTCAAGGTGCTTTCCCAAAACCTGGAGGCTGTACAGGTGTGGATGGGGAAGAGTCAGCTTTGCCTCAACCCTGACAAGACTGAGCAGCTGTGGGCTTTAGGGTCGCCTGTATCTAGTCAGTTGCTATCTTTAACTCTGGTTGGGGTGACACTCCCCCAGTCAGAGCCTGTTTGCAATCTGGGAGTTCTCTTGGATTCTTGACTCCTGCTCAAAGGGCAAGTGACAGGTGTGGCCAGGAGGGCCTTTGTACAAATATATCATGTGCACCAGTTCCCTCCTTTCCTAGATCAAGGGGCAGTGCTCATGGTCACTCATACTATAATTACCTCCCAACTGGACTATTGCAATGCGCTTTACATGGGGCAGCCCTTGAAGAGCATTTGGAAGTTGCAGCTGGTCCACAATGCAGCAGCATGGGCAGTAGTGGGCACTCCTCAACACACCCATGTAACAGCATTGTTGTAAGAGCTGCACTGGCTCACACTACGCTTCTTGGTGCATGCTGGTTGACACCTTTAAGGCCCTACACTTCATGAGGCCAGGTTATTAGCAGGACGGCTATCCCTGATGGTTTCTGTCTGTCCCATTCAATCTGACAGGTGGGCATGCTCCAGGTCCCCTCAGGGAAGCAGTTTCACCTGTGGGGGCTTGGAAGTGTGCCTTCACTGTCATGGTGCTTGCCTTACTGAACAGCCTCCTCACAGGGATACGGATGGCCCCAACCCTGTTGGCCTTCAGGAAAGCTGTGAAGTCTGGCTTATCCCCCGGGTACTGGGGCCAGGGAGCTAATAGAGCTGGCACAGGGTGGTTTGTTGGTGGATGGATGTGAGTTTTATTGGGGCCTCAAGATTGTTAAATGTTATAAATGTTTAATTATTTAAAAAATCGATTTAATTATAAAAAGATAAGATCTACCCTCAGAGTTATAAACTATAAAATTAGACCAGAGATGGAAATTCCCTTATCCTTAGTTTTCCTTCTTTCCCTCCAGTGCCATCTTTCTGATTGGCAGTGCAGTGATTAGAATTTATGTCATGTGCTATTTGGATTTTTAATTGACTGGCAGGTTTCATTAATGTGATTTAGGAGGGAGTCGCAAAGAGAAACAGCAAAGAAGGGATCTAAGCAATTTGTTTAGGTTGGGAAAAAAGTGAATATTCACATACAGTAAATGCATTTTTCAGTTCCCCAATTTGCCAATGTTTCCATTAGAAAATCAATCATAGAAAAAAATTATCAAGACAGTTTGGGCCTTTCTCTTTGGCTTACACTTGCCCCCCATGTCATTCTAGTCCTAGTCCATCCAAATCATGGGCAGGATGCAACACTGATTGCAGTTTTCATTTTTGCAACATCTCTTCTTCAGCTGATGAGGTCTCTTCTGTATGTGTTGCCAGCAGAGAGGTCCTCTCAATTTCTTACTGTTCCTGCCCATGGTTTGGTATATGTCATGAGTGCATGAAAATCCTTCCTTTGATGGTTGTCCAAAGATAAAGCCATAAATGATTAGCTGAAGCAACGGAACCCATCCTGCTCCCAATGAAGGAAATTATTGCAAGAAATTGTCCTCAGTATTTGGACACACACCCTTCTGCCTCATTTTCCTATCCTGTCAATCTCCAACATTTGCACCTGCCCTTCAGAAGACTTGCAGCCCCAACAATTGCCTGCCTCTTATGACCTGTACATCTCTCTCCATCTGTCTGAATAT